ATTAAAAAAAAAAAAAAAAAGACTCTGTGTCTTTGTATGTTCTGTCTCCTAAGGCTGCAGCCACCTTCCCGCTCTTTTTGTGTCAACTCCTTCGTCTCCATTAGGACACAGCGCGTGGGGTCCCTCCTCTGGGAAATCTCCCCTGATCTCTTCCTGTCTACTATTTGGGCTGTATCAGATATCCCTTCTTAATGTTCTTGTAGCACTGTGAGATGTCCTCAGAGCAGACTCACGACACACAGTGTCATTATTAACTTTGTCTACCCATGCCATGTATGGAATTAAGAAGGTGTCTCTGCTCCAGACTCCCTGTCCCCTGTCCCATACTCACCCTCTGGCCTCCCTTTCAAGATGTCAAGGACCAGGAAAGAAAGAATCGGCAAACCTGGGTTTCAGAGATGTCCAAACACTACAGGCACAGAGACACTATTTCTGTTTTTATTTTCTCACTGAAGTGATGGTTTTGTTTGTTCTTTGTTGTCGTTACTTATAAGCCCTGTTGTATGTTTGATGTCTTTCAGGGGACAAGACAAAACTTGAGACCACAGAGCTGACTGCTCCTGAGCCAGCCTTGTCTGAGGGAGCCTCAGACCAGGGACAATTGACACTGGGAGCCTCCAGGGACCCCCATCTGGGACGAGACAGGGATCAGGAGGGGCCACCAGAAATACAGGACCAACACTTGAGACCAGGGATGGATCCCCAGAAAGAGCAGCTCCCTGGAAAAATGAGCCCTGAACATGATGGATTGGGGTCAGATGATGGTGCATGTTCAAGGATTCTGCAGGACCGAGTCTCTCCAGGAGATGCTGTCTATGATGGTGACTCACATGGACGAGCTAAAGATGCCATAGCTCATGAAGAGAGACATCCCTATGTATGCAAGGAATGTGGGAAAGTGTTTAATAAGAAACGTCTCCTTGCTCAGCATGAGCGGATTCACTCTGGAGTGAAGCCTTATGAGTGCACAGAGTGTGGGAAGTTCTTTAGAAAGAGCACATATCTTCTTCAGCACCACATGGTCCATACCGGGGAGAAGCCCTATGGGTGCACAGAGTGTGGGAAGGCCTTCAACCGCAGGTCACACCTTACGCAGCACCAGCGGATTCACAGTGGAGAGAAGCCTTATAAGTGCAGTGAATGTGGAAAGGCCTTCACTCACCGCTCCACTTTTGTTTTGCACAAGAGGAGCCACACTGGAGAAAAACCATTTGTGTGCAAAGAGTGTGGGAAAGCCTTTCGTGATCGGCCAGGCTTCATTCGACACTACCTCATTCACAGTGGAGAGAATCCCTATGAGTGCTTCGAGTGTGGGAAGGTCTTCAAACACAGGTCGTACCTCATGTGGCACCAACAGACTCACACTGGGGAGAAACCCTATGAATGCAGTGAGTGTGGGAAAGCTTTCTGTGAGAGTGCAGCCCTCATTCACCACTACATCATCCACACTGGGGAGAAGCCCTTTGAGTGCACAGAGTGTGGGAAGGCGTTCAACCACAGGTCATACCTCAAGAGGCACCAGCGGATTCACACCGGGGAGAAGCCCTATGTGTGCAACGAATGTGGAAAGGCCTTCACTCACTGCTCCACTTATATCTTACATAAAAGGGCCCACACTGGGGAAAAACCTTTTGAGTGCAAAGAGTGTGGGAAAGCCTTTAGTAGTCGGGCTGACCTCATTCGACACTATACCATCCATACTGGAGAGAAGCCCCATGAGTGCACTGAGTGTGGGAAGGCCTTCAGCCGCAGATCTGGCCTCACGAGACACCAGCGGATTCACAGCGGAGAGAAGCCCTATGAGTGCATCGAATGTGGGAAAACTTTTTGTTGGAGCACAAATCTTATTCGACACTCTATCATCCACACGCGAGAGAAGCCCTATGAGTGCAGTGAATGTGGGAAGGCCTTTTGTCGCAGCTCATCCCTCACTCAGCACCAAAGGATTCATACTGGGAGAAGTCCTATCAGTGTAACAGATGTGGAAAGACCTTTCACAAGTGGGCAAACCTCAGTCAACATCCAAGAACTCCTATTGGGGAAAGACTTTCTGAATGTAACCACTGAGGAAAATCTTTGGCCAGAGGAACCATCTTACTCAGCATCTGATCGTTCATACCAAAGGGAAAGCCCACAGTTGTCATCCCTGTGAGGAGGTGTTCTGTGGCAGATAAATCGCTTGTCATCTAAAGAGTCAGAAATTGACCCTCCTAGACTCTGACTTGACATCTAAGAATTCATCCAGGAAAGAGACCCAGTGGTCATTGTGCACTTAGGAAAGCCCTCACCCACATCTTTCTCCTCAGTTTACACTGCAGAGTTACCTCAGGAATATTTTTTAAAAAAGGAAATGTAGAAGAGAATATTGAAAAAAATGGAAACAGCGTCTTTCAGATTCTCTGCCAAGCCTATGACAATTTGTCTTTACTTCCTAATTTTATCTGGGGAGAGGGGAGTATTGTTTCAGGATAAAGGGCCTCACCAGTTTATGTTTCTTCTATATACATTCACTGCTGTCTAGTGTCAGAAGAGTTTAGTCAGTTGAGGGCAAGGATGAAAACTTTTTAAAAGTCTTCTTGGTTCTACAGTATTGTCTCTATTCTTCAAGAACCTAAGTCTGTGGGAAATAATGTAGGTTTGGTAATGAAATGCTTTTTTATATTTAATGAGATAAAGACAAACGAATGGGCACACTTTATTGCACAGTTAGGACTGTTGTAAGTTTTAAAAGACAAACCTTTTATTCATGTGATTTTAAACACCTAAAGTACTTTGTGTTGGTCCTGATCTACTTTTTTATTTTATTACAGTAGCTATGTGGTAAATCTTATAGTCGAAAAAAGTGACTTCTCTCTACTCTTCTTTGACTCTCCATCCCACAAATTTCCACCCTACTATTTTAGCTCCATCCCACAAATTTCCATAAGTTTCAATTACATTTTTATTCCATTCTAAATATTTCTTGATCCTTTTTGAGACGTCCTCTGTGACTCATGGATTATTTAGAAGTATACTTTTTAATTTCCCAGAGTTTGTAGTATTTCCTGGGTTTTTTTTTTTTTTTTTTTTTTTGGTTATTGATTTCTAGTTTGGTCTGAACACATGTTCTGCGTGATTTCAAAACATTTACGTTTGTTGAACTTTGTTTTATGACCCATAAAATTTGTCTCTCTTGTTTAATGCTCCATGGGTGCTTGATAAAAATGTGTATTCTGCTGTTGTTGGGCTGAGTTTTCTATAAATGTCTATGAGATCCTGTTGGTTGATGGTATCATTCAGATTTTCTATACCCTTGCTGATTTTCTGTCTAGTATTTCTGTAAATTTCCTAGAGTGGTACTGAAGCCCCTAACTGTAATTGTGGAATTGTCCCTTCCTCTTTTAAGTTCTGTCAGGTTTTGCTTCGTGTAATTCAAAGCTCTGTTACTTGGTGCATACATATTTAGGATTGCTGTATACATATTTTTTATATATTGACCCTTTTATTGTTATGTCATGTCCTGCTTCTGTTGATTTCCTTGGCTTTTAAGTATAATTTATATAATACCAATATAGCCAATCGTGCTTTTTATGATTTATGTTTGCATGGTTTATATTTTTCCATCGTTTTATTTTCAACCTTCCCTATATCATTACATTTGAAGTCAGTTTCTTGTGAATAGCTTGAAGTCCGGTCATGCTTTTTAACCCATTTTGCTGATTCCTGTCTTTTAATTGGTATATTTAAGCCATTTACATCTGAAGTAATTATTGATATGTTATGGTTTAAGTCTGCCATTATGATTTGTTTCCTACTTTTTCTCATGTTTCTCTCTCCTCTCTTGTTTTTGTTATTTTTGTGTTTTTGTTTTGTTTCGCATTGTTTTTGCCTTCTGTGTTACTTCAACATTTTTTTAGAATTCTATCTCAATATGTCTATAATTTGAGTATATTTCTTTGTATAGTTTTTTTCTTCTTTTTTGTGATTATTCTAGCTATTTCAACGTATGTTGTTGTTAGGTGCCATCGAGTTGGTTCCGACTCATAGCGACCCCATGTACCACAGAACGAAACACTGCCCGGTCCTGTGCCATCCTCGCAATCATTATGCTTGAACCCATTGTTGCAGCCACTGTGTCATTGAGGGTCTTCCTCTTTTTCACTGACCCTCTACTTTACCAAGCATGATATCTTTCTCCAGGGACTGATCCTTCCTGATAACCTGTCCAAAGTATGTGAAACATAGTCTCACCATCCTTGCTTCTAAGAAGCATTCTGGCTCTACTTCTTCCAAGACAGATTAGTTCATTCTCTTGGCAGTCCATGGTATATTTAATATTCTTACACCAATACCATAATTCAAAGGCGTCAAGTCTTCTTCAGTGTTCCTTATTCATTGTCCAGCTTTCCCATGCATATGAGGCGATTGAAAATACCATGGTTTGGGTCAGGCGCACCTTAGTCTTCAAGGTGATATCTTCACTTTTTAATACTTTAAAGAGGTCTTTTGTAGGAGATTTTACCAGTGCAGTGTGTCTTTTGATTTCTTGACTGCTATTTCTGTGGGTTTTGATTGTGGATCCAAGCAAAATGAAATCCTTGACAATTTCAATCTTTCCTCCATTTATCATGATGTTGCTTGTTGGTCCAGTTGTGAGGATTTTTGTTTTCTTCCATACTGAAGGCTGTGGTCATTGATCTTCACCGGTAAGTGCTTCAAGTCCTCTTCACCATAACACAGGTTGTTAATGAGTGTTCGTCCGATCTTGATGCTGCATTCTTCTTCATATAGTCCATGCTCGGCATACAGATTGAATAAGTATGGTGAAAGGATACAACCCTGATGCACACCTTTCCTGACTTTAAACCATGCAGAATCCCCTTGTTCTATTCTAACAACTGCCTCTTGATTTATATACAGGTTCCTTATGAGCACAATTAAGTGTTCTGTAATTCCCATTCTTCACAGTATTATCCATAATTTGTTATGATCCACACAGTCAAATGCCTTTGCATAGTCAATAAAATAGAGATAAACATCTTTCTGGCATTCTGTGCTTTCAGCCAGGATCCGTCTGACATCAGCAATGATGTCCCTGGTTCCACGTCCTCGTCTGAATCCGGCGTGAATTTCTGGCAGTTCCCTGTCGATGTACTGCTGCAGCCGTTTGAATGATCTTCAGCAAAATTTTTGATATTAATGATTTTGTTAGATAATTTCCACTTTCAGTTGGATCACCTTTCTTGGGAATAAGCATAAATATGGATCTTTTCTAGTCGGCCAGGTAACTGTCTTCCATATTTCTTTGCATAGACAAGTGAGCACTTCCAGCGCTGCATCTGTTTGTTGAAACATCTCAGTTGGCATTATCGTCAGTTTTCTGGAGCCTGGTTTTCCGCCAATGCCTTCAGGGCATCTTGAACCTCTTCCTTCAGTACTGTCATTTCTTGATCATATGCTACCTCCTGATATGGTTGAATGTTGACCAGTTCTTTTTGGTATAGTGACTCTGTGTATTCCTTCCATCTTCTTTTGATGCTTCCTGTGTCATTTAATATTTTCCCTGTAGAATCCTTCAGTATTTCAACTCGAGGCTTGAATTTTTTCTTCAGTTCTTTCAGGTTGAGAAATACCAAGCGTGTTCTTCCCTTTCGGTTTTCTATCTCCAGGTCTTCGCACATGTCATTATAATACTTTACTTTGTCTTCTCGAGCTGTCCTTTGACATCTTCTGTTCAGCTCTTTTACGTCATCATTTCTTCTGTTTGTTTGAAGCTACTCAACATTCAAGAGCAAGTTTCAGAGTCTCTTCTGACATCCATTTTGGTCTTTCTTTCCTGTCTTTTTAATGACCTCTTGCTTTCTTCATGTATGTTGTCCTTGATGTCATTCCATAACTCGTTTGGTCTTTGGTCTTAGTGTTCAGTGCATCAAATCTGTTCTTGAGATGATCTCTAAATTCAGTTGGAGTATATTCAGGGTTGTACTTTGGCTCTCATGGACCTGTTCTAGTTTTCTTCAGCTTCAACTTCAACTTGCCTATGAACAGCTGATCTGTTCCACAGTCAGTCCCTGGCCTTGTTCTGACTGATGATATTGAGCTTTTCCATTGTCTCTTTCCACAGATGTAATTGATTTGATTTCTGTGTACTCCATCTGACAAGGTCCACGTATATAGTTGCCATTTATATTGTTGAAAAAAAGTATTTGCGATCAAGAAGTCGTTGGTCTTGTAGAATTCAGTCATGCAGTCTCCGGCATTATTTCTGTCACCAAGACCGTATTTTCCATCTACTGATCCTTCTTTGTTTCCAACTTTCTCGTTCCAGTTACCAGTAATTATCAGTACATCCTGATCGCATGTTCGATCAATTTCAGACTGCAGAAGTTGGTAAAAATCTTCAGTTTCTTCATCTTTGGCCTTAGTGATTGGTGCATAAATTTGAATAATAGTTGATTAACTGGTCTTCCTTCTAGGCATATAGACACTATCTTCTCACTGATAGCGTTGTATATACATTGAAATATATTTCAGTGTATATATGTAACTTACTACAGTCTACTGTTATCAACATTCCAGCACTTTGACTAATGTTACTTCATTCGGTGTGTTTACACTCTCTAGTCTTTAATATAATTTTCTTAAGTATTTCTTGAGCACTATGTTGGATGATGTAATTTTTACTTCAGCTGTCAAATATGTTTTTAAAAACTCACGAGAAGCATAGTCTGTGCTGTTTTTACCCATTCTATTGTTCTTTCTTCCTCCCTGAAATCTCAAACCTTTTACTATTAACATTGCCTTTCTGTTTGGAGAACTTCCTCTAGCCTTCCTTCTGTGTCGTGTCTGATGATAACAAACTTTCTCTGTTTTACTTTGTCTGTAAATGTCTTTATTTCCCCTTCATTCCTGAATGATATTTTTGTGGGATATAGGATTTGGGTTGGCAATTCTTTTAAGTACCTGAAAATCATAATGCCACTTTCTTCTGATTTCCGTGGTTTCAGATTATAATCTTCAGCCATTTGAACCATTGTTCCCTTATACACCAAGCATCATTTCTGTCTAGCTACTTGCAAAATGTTTTTCTTTGTCTGTAATGTTCAGAAGTTTGATTATAATGTGTCTTGGCTTATAATTCTTTTGGCATGTAATTTATCCTGTTTGGTATTTGCTCACGTTTTTTGATCTGTAGGTGTGTGCCATTTGTTAAATGTGGGTAATTTTCAACTATTACATCTTCACCCCCACACTCTTTCTCCGACTCTAACAAGTGTTAGGTTTTTTATTATATTCCCAAAGGTCCCTGAGGCTATGATAACCCCCCACCACCATGCCACAGCAGTCTATTTTCTCTGTGTTGTTCAGACTGAGTACTTTCTTTTGATCTTTCTTTAAGTTAACTGATTCTTTCCTCTGTCATCTCTAATCTGCTATTGAGCTTCTGCAGTGAGTTTTCATTTTGTTTTTGTATTCTTCAGTTGTATAATTTTCATTTGGCTCTTTCTTACATTTTCTATTTCTTTTCTGAGTTAACAGTGCCATAGAAGGACTCAAGAAATACAAAACAGTGTAGTCCAAAGTCATAGTACTTTGGTAGTTTGTGTTAAATTTGTAATAGAAATCCCAACTTATCTGGAGGAATGGGATGCCTAGAGTCTTCTACCCAGGGCTCCACAAATATTTCTGAGGGTTGAACTTACAACTT